GCTGTGATTTGGGAATAAAGTATTCAGTTTCCAGTCAAGAGAAGAGTGAGGAGAGTTCGGGTGGTCTCTTGGACAAATCACCCATTCGGTTTTCCACAATAGGGTYTGCAYRCAAGGGAAGGCRCAARGRGAAGCAAGAGGTTCTCCCCGTGGACCGACCCGTGACGAGATCCTACGCGCGGGCCCATAACATCCTGGTATCAGAGCCTACCGTCATGGGGGAATAGAAGCCGCTGTCTTCCAGGGTCCACGAACTGGAACATAGGCTTGCAGAAACCAGCATGGAGGTTCGTGAAGTCAAGGATGATGTCTGGGAGCTGCGACGCCTGCTGGAAGCATTCCTCTCCAACAAGGACAGAGGTTCTGAGGGAACCGCCACCACAAACAGTCGCCGTCCGGACTGGGCAGAGACGTCCAGCGAACAGCAGATCGCTGCCCCGACAGCCGCAGTTATTCCCAAGTATAGCTGGTTGGAATTCCCATCTTACAACGGCACCGGAGACCCGTTAGGATGGCTGTATCGCTGCAAACAGTTCTTCCGTAATCAGCGCACTGATGACAGAGATAAGGTCAGTCTGGCTGCCTTCCACCTATCAGAAGAGGCGCAGCTCTGGTTCTACTGACTGGAGCAAGAAGAACCCGAGTTCAGTTGGGGGCAGTTTAAATCATATTGTCTCCTCAGGTTCGGACCACCGTTGACAAGCAACCCGCTGGGCGAGTAATCAACCTCAAGCAAACTGGAACCGTTGCAAAATACCAACGCCAGTTCCAAACCCTTCTCGCCAGAGCAACCTCGGTTCGCGCAGATCAGCAAGTCGATATGTTCACCGCGGGGCTAGTAGAACCCCTAAGAGTGGACGTGGAGATGCAACACCCTCCCAACCTGGTCACAGCCATGAACCTAGCACGTGCCTTCGAATGCAAACTACAACTCAGCCACGGAACCTTCAGTATGGGGCGGCCTCCATCAGCATGGGCATCCCCGGAACCACTCGGAATGGCTCCATATCCAACAGCCAGCCAAGAACGGAAGCCACAGACGAGCACCAATTCCAGATCAGCATCCAGTGTGGGGAGCAGCGTCGTTACACACCCTATTAAGCACTTGTCCAGGGCTGAGATGGCAGAACGCAGGGCGAGGGGGCAATGTTTTAATTGCGATGAACTCTACT